ATTCCAAACTAATATTCCATTTGAAAATATCATTTATCTCAATATACAAAATATCACTTTTAATCACTCATATATTCTTATATGAAGTAAAAAGTATATTTCAACATAAGTTCATAGTTAATTCCACCTTTCAAGTCAACATACTTATAACACATAATCATACACAATTTATCCTTAAATTTGTATATCATGCTCCTTTTCCTCATAGACAATAGTCTTCTCATTCTTAGGCATTATTAATCATTAATAATCCATAAAAACACATTTAATTACCTTAGGTAATCTCATGAAATTAATTCACTAATTATAAGCAATATAGTCAGCCATCCTCATCTCGAATGAGCTTTAAGAAGTACTACCCTTTCTCGATTGAACTCCGCCGAAGCTCCGATGAAACTCCGACGACAATTAAGAGTAACTCAGTCAAGCTCCTTAATCTCTCGAGCCTTTCTAAACTTTTACTTCCTTAAGCTTCTTCTTGGACTCCCTTGGCTTGAGCTCGTTTATGGATGATAAGAATGGAGTGTTGGAGAGTTTTTCTCCCATTCGATGATGGCTTCCTCGAAATGATAAGGGTGGGTGTGATTGAGAATGCCTTTTTGGCAGTTCTCTCAATAATACATAAAGGAGGTCCTACCTCATTTAATGCTTTGCCTCTCCATTCATTTGTGCAGCTCATCTTTGCTAAATGCAAGACTACAAACGTGGGTTGGCCACCACCCATGTGGGAGGTCATCCCAATATGTCTCAAACTGTATACTTAGTCGTGAAAGTTGTATTTTTTTGGACAGTTTTAATTATATTTTATTTTATCGGGTCGATCATAGCACTTGGGTCGCCCAAACATTTTCACCAACTCGGTTGGCCCAAATAGGACGACCCATTAACCCCTGCAGGTCACCGGACGAACGTTTTTAAAAGCCACAATAGTCTGGGGACAAATACCCTCAGAGTGGTCATAGGCAGTGACGACGTTCGTCTCCTGCACTGAAATGGCAGTAGGCGGTGACGACGTACGACCTCCTCTCAAGGGGTAACTGATCAGGCAAACCGCGCATCAGGAGATGTTCCCCCTACTTCAGGGGACGTACGTCTCCAAGGACTTGGGCAGCTGTAGATGCCTTCCCCTTACCTCCGGGGACGTACGTCTCCAACAGGCCAACAAAGCCCATTGCAAGACGAACGTCTTCAAGGACTTGGACAGCTGAAGATGCCTTCCCTCTACCTCCGGGGACGTATGTCTCGAACAGGCTAGCAAGGCCCATTTTAAGACAAATGTCTTCAAGGACTGGAGATGCTTCCCCCCTGCTTGAGGGGACGTACGTCTCCAACCGACCACAATGCTCAATTGCGAGACGAACGTCTTCAAGGATGGGGATTCTTCCCCCTGCTTCAGGGGACATACGTTTCCAACTACGGAACCTTGGCCTTGGGAGCAAGCAGTACACAGGAGACATGACCTTGTGTGCGTACCCGAAGTCAGAATTGGTGCCGGGCTCGGTGTGTACGAGGCTAGCCTCGTATTTTGTCATGCCTGGGTGGTTCCCGAGCTCGATGTCTCCGTCGATCTAGAGGGTCGAGGTTGGCCTCGACTTCGTCTTTTGCCTACCAATTTGTCATTTGGGGCTTGCTCCTGACCTCGGTGACTCGGGGTCGGGGTCGGGGCTCCTCGAGAGTTTGATACTTTGTGTATTCTGAGATGGATCCGTGATGTTCTTGCCGGTGATTATGATACCCTTGGGTTATATGAGAATATACTCCATCATGAGTCCCCCACTCTCCGAAGTGAAAGTAACACTTGAGGTGAGAGAGAGAGAGAGTACATCTTCGATCTTCAGGGCTGGCGCGCCCGGCGGGGGTGCTTCTTTCCATGGTCATGACAAAGGGGTGCCTCATTAAAAGCTCCGTTGAAGAAAAAACCGTGTGGGAAAAAATCCTAACGGAGGAAAAAGAGTACACTACGCTCTACCATGATTTCCGGAGAAGAATGCAACACCCAGCTGCAAATGAGCCTGAGCTCGCGCTTCGGGCCTTTTTGGTCCTGCTTCCATTACCTACCTCATGGGTTAGTTGCTACATCCATGAACCTGACCATGGGTTGATAGAAGAGGAGAATATGAAAATGAGTTTGTGTGTGTGTGATGAGCTTGGTTCTGGGGTATACGTGTCGTGTTGTCTTTGAGGTCGCTGCGTTGTTCTAAGCTTGTATTAGCAGTTGCTTCTTGTTTTTTGATTTTTCCCGAGTCCCCCACTTACCAGTCCCTCACTCTTGTGGACTTGGAAGAATTTCTAAGTGTAGACTTGGGAGTTTTTTTGGTGTGTAGTAACGCTGATGTGTACAAATAAGAATCTTTACACATTCCTTTTGTAGCACGTTTATTTATTAGCCGTTTTTCCGCATTTAATGCGAGACAAGGCTTTGAAGTGACTCTGCGATGCCATCATTAGCTTTTTGCACACTTTTTATAAAAAACCCCTTTCAGTTTTTCGTGCGGTTAGTTTCCTGGTAGCCATGTGTCAGCCTCCCATTTAAGTTGTACGGGAGTATAAAAGGTGAAAACTTTTCCCTTTCTCCTTTGTGCTTTCTGTGCATTTGAATTTTCAGAGCATACAACAGTTCAGAGCTTTCGTTTTCTCCAGCTAAGTTTCTTGCTTTTGGTTTTCATCGTCGACTCACTTCTTTACCAGGTTAGTCTCCGGGCTCATTATTTTTGTTTCACAGTGATTTTGTTCGTCGGGGAGCCCGGAACAAGGGTTTTTCCGTCGAGCTTCTGTTTTGGGTACTGGGGGGTTCATAATCCCCCATTGCGGCTGAGGCCGGTACCTCTGGACTCGAAATCGTACACTGATGTCGATTCGAGTGTTTGATTTTTGTTTGGGGTTCGGATATTTTGTTCCTCAACCCGGATTCTGATTTTCTGCATGCCTGTACTTTTTTGCAGATTCAAAATCAAAATGTATTCAAAATCCAAATGATGAATTTCATAGCAAAATTTCTTCGATTCAACAGAAATTCACAAAATTGATCTTCGTTGTTACTTCTCAGTTCACCCGATCGTTGCCAATCATGTCCAGATTTTAGAAATTCAGATGAATCTCTCCAGGATTTTCAAAGACTCACGAATTTTTTCATAATTTGGGGAGGATCTAACTTGATCCCTGTCCAAGCTATCAATGAAAGCACTATTTGATAGATCTATAATGTATAGATCTAGAGAGAATAGGGAGAGAATGAACAAAGTAAAGATAAGTGTATGGTATGAATGAATTAGATCTTAGGGTTACAACATAAACATAGAGTCTATTTATAAGTACAATTGGGCTAACCTAGGGGATAACGGGCCAGACCCAATACAAGGAATACATCAAATATAAACAGGACCCTTGGGCGCACATAATGTCGTTGGGCCGATACAAAGAACGGGCTAGGCCTAATACAAGAAATACATCATCTCGGGTACCCCGGTCCTGGATAATATATATCCATCAGAAATGACTGAATCGTCTGATTCTGCTGACTTATGAAAAACATATATTTAAAATACATTTTATTAATAATAAAAGAGGAAAAATCAAACAGAGTATTTCTAGAAAAATAGATAAAATAGTTTTGTACAGTAACATCAATCATTAATCATTAAAGTAATTTCGATCTTACTTATTTTGATTATAATGCAATTTAGAGGCTGTTTGGTAACACTGATTTTCGGCTTATCAGGCTCATCACCCAACTTTTTCACCAAACACGCAACTTTTGTTTTCGCGCGCTGAATTGTGTAATAATAAGAAAAAGTAAGGTTGAAGTTACTTTTCTGGCTGTATTGGCTGAAGTTACTGTAGATGACCATTTTAGCTATTTTTACATATAATTTTTTCATTATTTTATTAATAAAATATATTTTAAAAATATTTTTTCTTAAATCAACAGAATTAGCCAATACAGCCACTTTAGCCAGACCTTCATAAATTTGAGCAGAATCAACCAAATCAGCCGATTTTCGTGTTACCAAACGGGCTTTCAGTGCATAAAATAAAATACTCCCTCCGTTCCTAATTTATCTTCCAAATAGGTTTGACACACAATTTAAGATATTGAGTATTGGGTGGTGGAGAGTTATGCAGAGGAGAGAGAAATGTGTAAGAAATGTTGTGAACCACAAATTAATTACTAAAAAGGGAAAGTATAAGTTTTAATTGAAACGGACGAAAAAAGAAAGTTGGAAGTTTTAATAGGAACGGAGGGAGTACTACATCCGTCCCATTTTATAAGGGCATCCCCATCCATGAGATTATTTAAAGTTTAATTAGATGATGTGTAAGATTATTTTACCGATCATCATTGTGAGTGAGAGATTACTTAGAGAGATCATTGAAAAAGAAAATCCAGTATCAAGATTTGAATCCTGGATTATTTTAGATTGTAGTTAAAATGCATTTAATGCATGATCTAGAATATCTAATTATTTGAGTATCATGGTTGATGAAGAGTTTTTAAGACTTGAGATTATTTGAGATTTATTGAATAAATGTGATGTGACAATGACGTGTAATCAAAAAATCGTTTATTTTAAGATCATGAACGGAGATGCTCTAAGTCCTTTAGTTTGACACAATAATTAATAAAGTGATGAAAAGTAAAAATTGTTATAGATATTTGAATATAATAAAATAAAATATTATAAATAACGTATTTTTTTCAACAAAATAAAATATTAAACTTATTTTGGAACAAAGAAAGCAAGTTAAATGAAATGGGGCGAGAGGAAAATTACAAAACAGCTGAAATAGTACTGTACATTATAAAAAGTTGCCGGATGGGCATTTGGAATCTGTGAAGATTTGGAGCAATCCGATTGACAGATGGCAGAAGGTGAGTGGTTGCTTCGTTGGTGGTTTATCCACAGCAAAGAAAGTCGAGGTGTTAGAGAGTGCCAAATGGAGGGGCATTTTCAACCATTCAAACATATTCAACCAATGGAGTTTAAGATTGTGATCTTAGGAGATAAGGAAGGGCATCCATTTTTGTACTCTGCATATACCTTAATAAATAGCACAGATCCATCGAAGATGGTTATCAAACAACCTTTCTCATCTTCTTCAATTCCTCCTTAATTACAGTAATCCCACGCCCACCTACCTTCACTCACTCGCTGCGCGCGCGCAGTTGGAATATAATGGCAGCTTCCACCACGATGGCTCTCTCTTCTCCTTCCTACGCCGCCGCCGCCGCCGCCGCCGGAAAGGCGGGCAGGTCCCGGGTGGCCCCTAAGATCACTATGAGGAGAACCACTTCATCAAAGTCCGGCTTCCGATCCTCAGTTCCATCGGGCAGCCCGTGGTACGGCCCCGACCGCGTCAAGTACTTGGGCCCGTTCTCCGGGGAGGCGCCGAGCTACCTGAACGGCGAGTTCCCGGGCGACTACGGATGGGACACCGCAGGCCTGTCCGCGGACCCGGAGACATTCGCGAGGAACCGCGAGCTGGAGGTGATCCACAGCAGGTGGGCGATGCTGGGCGCGCTGGGCTGCATCTTCCCGGAGCTGCTGGCCAGGAACGGGGTGAAGTTCGGGGAGGCGGTGTGGTTCAAGGCCGGAGCCCAGATCTTCAGCGAAGGAGGTCTGGATTACTTGGGGAACCCGAGTCTGATCCACGCGCAGAGCATCTTGGCCATCTGGGCTTGCCAGGTCATCCTGATGGGAGCCGTGGAAGGCTACCGCGTTGCGGGAGGCCCGCTGGGAGAGGTCACCGACCCGCTGTACCCGGGCGGAAGCTTCGACCCGCTGGGTCTGGCTGACGACCCAGAGGCCTTCGCGGAGCTGAAAGTGAAGGAGATCAAGAACGGGAGGCTGGCCATGTTCTCCATGTTCGGCTTCTTCGTCCAGGCCATTGTGACTGGAAAGGGGCCGCTGGAGAACCTGGCCGACCACCTCGCCGACCCTGTTAACAACAACGCCTGGGCATTTGCCACTAACTTTGCTCCCGGAAAGTGAGTGAATTCATCGCTAGAAGATCGATGTGTTTAATTTGCTGTTATGATGACATTAATTGGCTCTGTTTGTAATGTCATATTTATCCCTGCAATCTGTCTGTCGTCTATTTGTCTGCTGCATATACTTAATTATCAATTATCTAAGAATCACAAACAGTTTGTTGCGCATGTATTTATTCATCTTCTCTCCATCCCCCGACTTCTCATCTTTATTTATTGCCTTCTAACGTACAACCAGCCCAGCCCAGCCCGTCTATGATCAATACCATAGCAGCTGCTCTGTTCTTTACATATCCGGGTATAAGAAGCGCAAGAAAAAGGATATAGACCGTGGATGTTAACTTTCTTGTTTATCAGTCTGGTTTATTCTTGTCTCTCTCCATTTACCAGGCAATTGGTGTAGGGTCCGATCATAGACATGGATGGGGGCAAGACCGCCTGGTTCCATGGTTGCACATTTATTTATTTTTATTTATAAGTCTGGTTTATTCTAGCAAAGGTCCACGCATGTCTATTTTAGGATTGTATATGCTCCATTTAAGTCTGACCTATTACGAAACAAGTGTGGCTCATTTTGAAGTATGGCTTTGTGGGATAAATAGTATGGTCATGCACAGAAGAGGAGTGAAAGGGGAAGGCCGGAATACACTTAAGTGGAGGGTCATACTCGTGCAGACACTCGTGTATTTTTCTCGATTTGTTAGTGTTTAGGTTATTTGTCACCATTAAGTGATTACCCATGGTTGTCAAAAAAAGTGATTAGCGTCCCTTTTTTATCAATATTACTAAAGTAGATTCAAAAGATGACATGTTTCGATTTTTTTCAAAAATATGACTTACCATGTACTATGTATATCACTTTTGATCTTATTTAATTGTTCATTTATTATCATTGTTATATTTCATTTTTCTAATTAATACTCCCTCCACTCCTTAATTAACTTTACACTTTCCTTTTTGGGTCGTCCCATATTAAACTTTACACTTCCTTATTTGCCTTATTTGACAAACAAATCTACACTAAACAGTGCAAAATAGTGTCAAACAGTGTCAAACAGTACACTCTACAATAAAGTCAAATTTATTTCCTTAATATGTGTGAAGTCAAACTGTAAAATTTAATAAGGACCGGAGGAAGTAATTAATCAATGTTTTCTAGCCACCCCAAAGACCGCCATCATCAAGACCGTTGCCGCCATCTCCGCCGCTGCCGCCTTCACTGCTGCCGCCATCAAAGTGACATTGTCGGTTAGTGACCCTGTCACCCTACATCGTTCAGTGACTTCGTTGACCACCACCCAAGTGACCACCGCCTATAGTGACACGCGCCCAAAGTGACCACCATCGCATAGTGACTCCATCGATTTGTAACTTGTTGACACTGACTCCACCAATTAGTCACTGCCCTATTCAATGACTACTACCACCACTGTCACTGCCCGTCGGCAGTGACTTCACCAATTAGTGACCAACCCGACTAGTGATTGCCGCCCTGGCTAGTTAACACCATTGTTGTCACTGTTGGCCTATACCACCCTCATATTCCACACCCAAAAATAGTATGTTGACCAACCCGACTAGTGACTGCCGCCCTGGCTTTCTTACTCCGGACTTGCTTAACTGCAGAGTTCTGTGGTTAAATAACAGTCATATCTTTCTTAAAACCAATTGATGATAAGGAATTGAACACCGTATCTTCTATTTAACCCATTACTTCGTAGTCCCCAAGTCAAGGTAGATTCCTGTGGGGCACCCCCAATAGTTCACTACGCCAGTGCAGAACCCCACTACTGAGCGGTGGATGGACATGAGGGGCTGCACCATATCGTGGTGCCAACAGGTTGAGCGCTTAGTCCCTGAATCAAAGGGTGGTGCTGATCTCCCATAAAACCAACAATCACCCCAACACCAGTAAGGTAAAGTTGTCCCTTAACAATTTCTTCGAAGTAGAAGTCATGATCCAAACATTTAGTACTAACGTATTCTCTAGTCGGCGCTCTCAACATGCATTAGTCATACACATCATCCAATCGGCATACATATTTTGTAAAACAAAGAAGAGACAAGAAAACAAAGAAACAAAAATTAGCCGGAAATGCTAATAAGTCCCACCCAACCCTGTAAAATAATATAATTTGAGAAAATAGATTTTTATACATAATATAATCTTGAAAATTCATATACTTCCAAAAATACATTTCTCATATTCTTAATAATACTTACACTTCAAAATAACCTTTAGATTTTAAAATGGCTTTTGTAAGCTTTAAATAAATTAATCACCATATAGGAGAAAAGTACCACCTTCAAAATTATATAAAACTTAGTACAACATTTGTAATCAAAATCTTTATGCAATAGTAGTTCATCAAAACCTCTTTCATTATTCCAAAAAAAAAACAATCTAAATCATCAAATTAGTAAAATATTTCTTTTAAGATTTATAGTTCCAAAATAATTTGCATCACTCGAAAATACCTTTATAGTTAAAGTAATAAATCTAAATTTTAAATAATCCACCTCTCCATGTAAGACCAAAATATGTCTTCCCAAAAATAACATTTGTAGTTAAAATAGCAATTAGAAGATTTAACTAATTTCAAATAATCACATAACAACATAGAAGTAAAATACCACTATCACAATATCACATTCCAAAACACTACATTCCAAAGTTTCACGTTCCAAAATATCACATTCCAAAATACTCCGTATCACCTTCCAAATATATGACTATTTAGAATAATTTTCCAAGAACATATAACCTGCAAAAATATAACTTCCCAAAAATATAACTTCCCAAAATAAATCAATAAACCTCAAAGTTGTTGGGGTGATTACCAACCCACGATAAAAATTGTCAGGGTGATTACCGACCCACCATAAAAATTGTTGGGGTGATTACCGATCCACCAATTCGGATACTGAACCTCGGCCTTAAGTGTGCACACCCCTAAGAGATATTCCAAGCCTTCCGAGTAGGTATGGACCCAACCGGACCGAACCGGACCGGAACCGGCCCGTCCCGTTACTGTACGGGCCCGGACCGGATCGGACCCAGATGGCCGGTTCCGGGCTTTAGCCCGGGTTGGGCGGGTCAGGCGGGCCGGTTATGGGCCCCCGTTTCGTTGAACCGGACCGGCCGGTTCGGGCCGGTTTTGGGCCTTTTTTTTGTTTTTTCATTTTTTTTCTTTTCCTAGGGTAGGGCTGGGTGCTTTGGGGAGGTTTGGGGGTGGGGTGGGGTGGGGGTTGGGGGATAACAAGAAAGCCAAAAAAACAATTAAACATTGAACTGGGCCTGAGCCGGTTAGGTCCGAACCTGGTATCAACCCGGGCCGGTTCCGGACCCAAGTAAATGGGAAAAAAAGCCCGCCCAGGACCGGCCCGGGTCCATAACTACTTCCGAGTAATAAGACCTCCGAGTAATCATGATGTTTTCTACCGACTACCCCCACCAAATATATCATCCAAACTGACTAGGCACTGCTACTACCTCCAAAATCCACCAAGTGTTTATTGTTTGGGATGTTTTCTACCGAACACACCAAATCCATTAATTCAATTTGTTCAGATTGGTTACCAAACACACCAAAGTCGTTTATTTAAATTGTTCGGATTGGTTACCGATCCCCCCAAGCAAGTAGTAGCATCCCTAATCACCATCCACATTTATCTGGATGTGGAAAACCGACACCACGAATTTCTCCCGTGATCCTACACATTATGAAAGGTTCCTTTTATCTTGACCGTTTACCCAAAAATTCTATATCTATTATTCACAAATATAGTTTTAAAATAAGGATTATTATCCTTGGATTTTAAATCAGAATGTCAAAGAGTAGTTCAAAATATCTCTAATATAATCTCTAATAGTTTTCAAAATCTCATATTATACATACATATAATTCATAAATAGGATTTTCATCCTTAAAACTTTAACTCATAATTTATAGAATAGTTCACCTACTCACATATCATAAATTATTATTATATTTATTATATACCAAAATTTCACATCTATAATAATACATAGATATATTTCCAAAATAAGGATACTTTATCCTTTAAACTCGAAATTTCCCAAAATTTCTCAAAATGTAAAGTAGTTCATAATACTTCCCAAGTTTCAAACAAACATTTCCATTATAGCTCATACAAATTTCAAATACCCATAATTTCATTCAATATCACATTATCACATACTCAAATAATTTCAAATAATAATCACACATAGCATTACAAGGTCAAATATAATTTATAAAACAATTAGTAATTTTCCAAAATCATTTCATCCCCAAGTTTAAGAATTTAATAGCTCCAAATTCCAAATTTCTTGAAGTAGAAATACACACATATCACATAATAACATAATTCTAAATAAATTATACTGATGGATAGTGTACCCGGGGGGTAGCTAATCCGGGGGGTTATTGCGGGGAATAACAAGAGAGAAGTCAGAGCAAGTAAGTATAGAGAGAGAAAGTGTATTCAGAAAGTATGCAGCGTTTATGACTTGGTTACAAATGGGGAAATGGGGTGCTATTTATAGTAGCAATAAATGCCGGACAGGGACACGTGTCAAGCGCCCATTGGCCGAGAGGTCACCTCAACTGGTTGGCGTTGGCAGCCGCATGTGGCCGCATTTAATGCGGCTGTTGGATGGGACGTTGTACAGGGTACGGTGATCTGTACGCATGTGGCGCGGATATTATGTCGGGAGAGGTGCCCTCGGCTGCAGAGGACTAGCCGAGGGCTCTAAGTGCCGGGGACCCCCTGGGTGCCGAGGGCTCCAGGTTGCCGAGGGCTACTGTTTTCTGCCGTTTTTCTCCCAGTTTCTTAGTTTGCTTGAAAAACCTGTTATGTGAGAGTTTTGAGCCTTCGGCCAGGGGGCCGAAGGCTCCCCAGTGTGCGCTGTGGGCTGCTAAGTGCTTGGGGCGCCGTAATTTGGGGCCTGCTGTGCTTCCTGGGCCGGTTGGGCCTTTATTGGTGTAGTAGGAGTCTGTGGGCCGGGGGTTCCCGGGCCATATACTCCATCAGGAGTCCCTCACTCCTTTTGCCGAAAGGTACTTGAGGGAAAAGGAGTAATTTGTGCTTGCCCTTTGATGTTGTCCCGTTGTAATCTCTGAAGTTGGTGAGGAGTCGTTGCTTTCATGTCCCTGCCGAAGGCAGTCCCTCAGTTACCCACATGTCGGGACTTGAGGGATTGCTTGGCCGTTTGTTGGAATTTTTCACCATTTTGTAATTTAATGATTTTCCCGAGGGGGTCCTCCAGTCCCCCACTCCTTAAGGCACTTGTAAAGTGGTGAAAAAGAGTAGAGTAGTTGCGCTGCTGTTGTGTGCCGAAGGCTGACACTTTTCGTTTCATTTTGGGGGGATGCCTCGTTAAAAACCTCATTAGGAAAAACCCTGGGGGAAAAAATCCTAATGAGGGAAAAAGAGTGCACCGAATTCCCCCAACGATGAATCGAAAATGTGAAACCTTGGTCAAAAATGGAGAATAATGGTAATTCCGAAGGCTCTCCTTGTTCTGAGGGCTCATGTGTTGAGTAGCCGGAGGCTTGCTGTTGATGTCCTGGGAGGTGCCGAAGGGGAGCCACTCGATCTGGGGATCGAGGGCGTGATGGATGAGGGCAGTAGTTGAATTGTTACCGGGGTGTCCCCTGCTTGTTGATTAGTTGGTGAGGAGGATATCCGAGGGCTCCCATTACCTGTGTGTTGTAGGCTATCCGTCAATGAGGCATACTCCCCGGGGGCTACCCGGCCCTTACAGTGCTGAGGGGGAATCCCCGAGGGGTGGCCTGATATGAAGCCTTGGGCTTCTGAAGGAGTGATCCCGAAGGCGACTGTTATGTACTGTGTGGGGCACAACCCGGGGGCGTCTCTGGGTAA